CAAATTTCTTGGCATAGACAAATGAGCACCTCCAGCGCTGTATCCGCTTGTTGAAACATTTCGATTGGTTGACGTCAGTTCCTGGAGCCTTGTTTTTCGCCAGATCCTTCAGTGCAGCTGGGACTTCTTCCTTCAATACAGCCTTCTGAAATAGCTGAATGTCAACCAGTTCTTTTTGGTATAGTGACTGTGTATTCCTTCCATCTTCTTTTGATGCTTCCTGCGTCGTTCAGTATTTTGCCCATAGAATACTTCAAAATTGCAGCTTGAGGCTTGAATTTTTCTTCAGTTCTTTCAGCTTGAGAAATGCCGAACGTGTTCTTCCTTTTTGGTTTTCTATCTCCAGCTCTTTGCGCATGTTAACTTTACTTTGTCTTCTCATGCCTCCCTTCGAAATCATCTGTTTAGCTCTTTTACTTCTTCATTTCTTCCATTCGCTTTAGTTACTCCATTTTCAAGAGCAAGTTTCAGAGTCTCTTCTGACATCCATTTTGGTCTTTTCTTTCTTGTCTTTTTAATGACCTTTTGCTTTCTTCATGTATGATGTCTTTGATGTCATCCCACAACTTGTCTGGTCTTCAGTCATTAGGTTTCAGTGCATCAAATCTAGAGATGGTCTCTAAATTCAGGGATATACTAAAGGTTGTACTTTGGCTCTTGTGGACTTGTTTTAATTTTCAGTTTCAGTTTGAACTTGCATATGAGCAGTTGATGGTCTGTTCCACAGTCGGCCCCTGGCCTTGTTCTGACTGATGGCATTGAGCTTCTCCATCTCTTTTCACAGCTGTAGTCAATTTGATTACTGTGTTTTCAGTCTGGTGAGATCCACATGTATAGTCACCATTTATGTTGTCACAAAAAGATATTTTCAACGAACGAGTCATAGGTCTTGCAAAAGTTTATCATGTAATCTCCAGCGTCATTTCTGTCACCAAGACCGTATTTTCCAACTACAGATCCTCTTTTTTTTCCAACTTTTGCATTCCAATCACCGGTAATTATCAGTGCATCTTTATTGATCAATTTCAGACTGCAGAAGTTGGTAAAAAATCTTCAATTTCCTCATCTTTGGCATTAGTGATCAGTGTGTAAATTTCAGTAGTAGTCATATTAAGTCATCTTCCTTATAGGCATAAGGATATTATCCTATCACTGACAGCGTTGTACTTCAGGACAGATCTTGAAATGTTCTTTTTGATGATGAATGTGACACCAACTCCTCTTCAATGTGTCATTCCTGGCATAGTAGCCATATGATTGTCTTACTGAAAATGGCCAGTATCAGTCCATTTCAGCCCATTCATGCCTGGGATATCGATGTCTAATACCTTCTGTTTCATTTTCGATGACTTCTAATTTTCCTAGATTCATACTTCATACATTGCATGTTCTGATGATTAATGGATTTTTGCAGCTGTTTCTTCTCATTGTGAGTCGTGCCACATCAGCAAATGAAGGTCCTGAAAGCTTTACTCCATCCATGTTATTAATGTCAACTCTACTTTGAGGAGGCAGCTTTTCTGTGTCATATTTTGAGTGCCTTCCAACCTGGGGGGCTCATCTTCCAGCACTATATCAGACAGTGTTCTGCTGCTATCCATAAGGTGTTCACTGGCCAGTTTTTTTTGGAAGTAGACCGCCGGGTCCTTCTTCCTAATCTGTCTTAGTCTGGAAGCTCCACTGAAACCTGTCCACCAAGGGTGATGCTGCTGGTATTTGAAATACCAGTGGCAGAGCTTCGAGCATCACAGCAACATGCAAGCCACCACAGTTTAAGAAATTGACAGATGTGTGGTGGGCAAAAAAAAAAAAAAGTAGTTGATGATGAAGAACAAGAAGAGAGGAGTAGGAGATAAGCACTGGTAGACCACAAAAAGAACTGCTTATAAGGCAGTTACTTACATCTGTACTGATGGATAATGGGACATTCTCTCTCTCTTTTTTTCTTCTCTTTCTTTTTATTGTGGTTTAGGGGAAGGTTTTCAGAGCAAGTTTCCCATTCAATAGTTTATACACAAATTGTTCTGTGACATTGCTTTTAATACCCTCAATGTGTCAACACTCTCCACATTACCAACCTGAATTCCCCATTTCCATTCATTCGGTTTTCCTGCCCCTTCCTGCCTTCTTCTCTTTGCTTTTGGGCATATGTTGTCCTTTTGGTCTCATGTAGATGATTGCTGTAAGGAGCACTTTCGTCATGTGTGTTGTTGTTTATTTATGGGCTTGTCTATTTGGCTGAAAAGTGATCTCCGGAATTGGCTTCAATTTCCAAGTTAGAAGGGTGTCTAGGGTCCATAGTCTCAGAGGTTCCTCCTGTCTCTCTCTGACCAGTAAATCTGATCTTTATTATAAATTTGAATTTTGTTCTATACCCCTTCCTTCTCCCTAACTGGGACTTTCTATTGTGATCCTGGTCAGAGTGGTAGGTAGTGGTTGCCCAGCACCATCTACTACTTCTGGTCTCAGGTTGGTGTAGGCTGTAGTTCTGTGGTCCATTAGTCCTTTGTACTGATTGTTTCCTGGAGTCTGGGTTTCTTCATTCTCCTTTATGGAGCATTCTCTTGAAAGTTAATTTCTTTATGTGGGTCATTTACAAATTCAAAAATATTCCTAACTGGAGTTTGTGAGTACAAAGTAAGAATCTGTTTCATGATTTCCATGGTCCTTGTATTTCCTTGGTACTGTATATGTATATTTGTTTTCATGTTTAGTCTACAGAGAATCATGTGTTGAAGATCCTTTTTTAAAAGCAAGACACAGTTCACATATCCTCAGATCGCTTCCCTACCTAGTCCATAAATCTTCTTCCATCTTCAGTGGTGATTTATCTTCAGTGGTGATTTAAAAGTCTGTTTTCCAATCTTCTTGAAAGTATTGAACCAGTTTTTGTTTTACAGTCACAAAGTGCTGTGAATTCCTTGAGCTTTTGAAATTATGGTATATAGTTATTTTGTTTCTTTATGCTTTGAACTCAATGGTAAATATTAAGATGTGAATATTGTGCTTATATCTGCTATGGAGAAATGTTCATTGAATGTAAGCTGTCTTTCTGTGCATGTCTTAACCTGTACTACATTTGAGAGAGGTACTAGCTTTATAATAAACAGATTTGTTGTTGGTCGTACTGTTAATTGCACATTCATTCAGTGTCAGACACTTTTAGATACTGGGGATATTCTAATAAACAAGATACAGTCCCTTTCAGGTAAGACTAGAGAGATAAGGAAATGATTATAGAAGTGTGGTTAGTACTTTGACATAGGAAAGTGCAGGGTGCTGTGGGGAACAGGTCAGGAAGTGATATGGAAGTTGCACCTTGAAGAATATGTAGGGTCTAGCCAGGGGAAGAGAGCATGGAGGTGTGTTACTGAGAGAACAAACATGTATGAAGGCCCAGAAGCAAAAATATTCACTGTAACTCGTTGAGCAGGAGTGCGCAATATGGGGTGGAGGTGAGGTTTGAGAGAGAGGCTAGGGCCGGGTGGACTTTACAGAATAAGTATTCAAAAGGCCTTAAGCAGAGCACTGACACAAATCAGATATATTTTAAAAGGTTCACTTTAGTTTCAGTGTGGAGAGTGGATTGGAGGGAGCAAGATTGAAGGCAGTAAAGTCAAGAGACTGCAGTAACCTAGGTCAAGAATGGTAGTCGCCTTAACTCTGTTGGCAGCTCTGTGGATAGAGAGAAATGGGTATTTTGAAAGCAATAATGTTATTTTAAGAAGAAAAAGGATCAAATGCAGCCATGAATGAAGGAGTGAAAATCCATAAGTTCTAGGTATTTTGAAGTCATTGGTGACTTTAAGTGCTTTTTCAGATGGCATATGAGCTAGAGTGAGTAGGCCATAGGAAGTAGAGAACAGGTAGTGTAGACCAATCAAGAAATCACAAGGAAAGGAGAAAAGTGGAAGCTCTCTACTTAGCTTCTTTCCATAAACAGCTTACTTACATTTAGAGCACATATTGAAGAATTTTTGTGAAGTACTTAGAACATTGCTTGACACATAATAATTAATCTATTAAGTGTTAAATTAATGAATTTGAACTCAGTCATTGTCAGCTGTGTCAGATATAATAGTAATATTAGTATTAGTATTATAGTCCTCCAAAAGCACATGAGTAAGAGCTGATAAATTAGATTGCATTTCACGGGGTGGTCTGAGAAAGTTAGCGTTTTCACTTTATTGGTTTCTTATTCTTTGATGCAGAGGCAAATAGTGAAGTGATTAAAGACTCATCTGGAATCAGATTGTATGGGTTTGCATTTTGTTTTATTGCTAACTAGCTGTTTGATCTTCCATAAGTTTTTTAAGGAGTCCCTGGGTGGTACAAACAGTTAATACACTTGGCTGCTGATGGCAAGTCCACTCACAGGCACCTCACAATCTACTTCCAAAAATCAACCACTGAAAACCCCATGCATGAAGTTCATCATGAGTCACCATGAGTCAGAATCAACTTGATGGCAACTGGTTGGAAGTTTTTAAAACTCTAAGCCTCAGTGTCTCTTCAGTATCTGAGATATAATAGACCTTCAAATATTTGTTGAGTTATTTAAAATTTTTTTTGAGGAAAAAATTGCTACAATCTTATACCCTCTTATTACTTGTGCCTCCAGGCATTGATTTTGCTTACTTTTTTCTTCAGACCTATTTTACACTCTTAAGTTACACTAGGAAAGGTGCCATTTGCTATCTTTTTTTAAAAATGTACTACGTTGTGTTTCTTATGGCATCTAGCATTATGCTAGGTAAATTGTAAGCACCTAGTAATTGTTGAGTTTGTTTAAAGGTTTAAAAAGAATGTCAGTGACAACATTCAGCTTACTGCATGCTTATCTTCTACACCTTTCCCTTCACTTAGGCAAAATGCTGTCATATAAGTATGGATAACTTTTTTTTTGTATGAGGATTTCTGTTCGTTTTTTTTTTTTAAGTTCTATTTAAACTATGTATTTTGTTTATTACTTAAAAACTCAAATGTGCTTTATATTTTAGGTCCGGTTTATCACCAAAATATGGCATCCTAATATTAGTTCCGTCACGGGGGCTATTTGTTTGGATATTCTGAAAGATCAATGGTAAGAGATTTTAAATTCACCTTCTCTTCTCCCTCATATGAATACCAAGACTGTATTTAGAGTATTAAATGTGGGATTACCTCAGAACATAAGCATTTTATTATACTTATGTTTTGGCAATAATTTAAAAACTATTCTTAAGTATGTGACTGAAAATATGTTGTAACTGAGATCATCTATATTTAAAGAAAGACTTGTTAGGTGATATCAGAAATGCTAGCTTTACATTTTGAAGTCTTGGTTTTCATTTGTTATTTGGTAAATTTGATCTTTGCTATCTCAGAAAGATATTTGTGAAAGACTAAAAAAGTAAGTATAGAAGCAATGAATTCAGCTCTGACTTATATGGAATGTAGACAACAAAAACATTAGAAGTTGTGTTAATTGAACAAAGTTAAAGTTCTCAGATTACAAGGAGTACTATTGTAAATAATGTCTTCATTTCAATAGCATTTTATAGTGCTTTCGCTTGTTTTTTTTTTTTATTTTTTGTTTGATCTTAACAGCACAGTGTTTCAAGAGTTCCTATTCTGAAACTAAATGCTCTGATTCCTGGTTCTACCATTTACTAGGCTATGTGGTCTTGAACAAGTTACCTAATGTCTATATGCCTTAGTTTTCTCATCTGTAAAATGAGATCAGTAATACCTACCTCATAATGGCTATTGAGCTGATTGAATGAGTTCTTTTATGTAATTCTCTTAGAATAGAACCTTGTGTATTCTAATAATGATGAATGTGGTGGTGTTATAGGCAGAAGATACTATGTTAAACATTAAGTGGTGTTAAAATCATTTAACACATGATATATAGATGGAAATACTAAGACAAGAAGTATAAAAAGCCATTTGAGTAGAAGGAAACAATAAACAAAATTAGAAAAAATTGAGTGGTTGTACATTGTGACCTGTTTTCCTTTGATTTTACTGTTTTCCAAGGGAAGGAAAAAGAAAAGTAGAGAAACATTAGATGAGAATTCATGGTGCCAAGATCCTGTTGAATGTGCTCAACTTGGCTGCCTAATCTTCTGAGTATTGTTTTTAAGTTGTGTTTGATTCATTAAGAAAGAAAACGAATGAAACCTGATTAAGGCAGAACAGGAATGACAACATACCATGTATGAGTGATTTGATTATTCAGTAACTGAATAAACAGACTACAAAGTTGCTGGTTTTGTTTTGTTTTTCCATTCTAATACCATATGTGAGTAAATCTTTTCCCTCAGTAGATCATCTCTTGGGATCTAGTCTCTTGGTTTATGTTCCATACTGTTATACGTTGAACAGTGTGGAATAGACCTATCTTCTCTGTTACTCTTTTGCTTTGTGACTTTCAGCAATTTGTTGAACTTCTAGGCCTCAATTCAGTTGGCCCTCCCTGTCCACGGGTCCTGCATCTGTAGTGCCTGCGTCCGCAGGTCCCACCCACATCCACAGATTCATCCAATCATGGATCAAAAATATTTGGGGGAAGAAAAGGTCCAAAAAGCAAAATTTGAATTTGCCATGCATCGAGCACTACATTTAAACCACACGAATGAAATGTGTAGGCATACCCTGCTGTAGCCTCCTGCCATTTCACAGATCCTCTCCAGTACTCATTTGAGCTTGCAAAGATTGAGAAAACATTGAGTGTAAGCATTAGCAACTATTTTAAACTATACAGGAAGATCTGTGTAGGTTATATGCAAATACTGCACCATTTTATATGAAACTTGAGTATCCATGGATTTTGGTATATTTGTGGGACAGGTGCTGGAACCAATTCCCCATGGATACCAAGGGACAACAGTATTTTTATCTGTAAAATTATCTTCAAGGCCCCTTATAGCTCTGTCATTCAGTGATACTAGTGAATATTTGCAGTATTAGAGAAGTTGTGCTTTTTTCACGTGCCTCCGGAACATCAATCTTCTGTTCTCCACCCCTTCCTATTCCTACTCCCAGTCTCCTTAACTAATTCCTCCTCACCTTCTGGAACTTTGCACATTAGAATGCCTCAGGGATAAATCTTGGACCTCTCCTTCTTTCCATCTGTACTCACTTCCTTGGTAAGCTCATCTGATTTCATGGCTTAATCACTTATATACTGTCAACTCACAAATTTATCTTTCCTGAACTCCAGGGTCACATATCCTGCTGACTGCTTAACATCTTTACTTGAATATGTAATCTGTTAACGTTAGGTGCTGTTGAGTCGGCCCTGACCAATAGTGACCTTATGTATAACAGAACGAAGTGTTATCTGGTCCTGTGTCAATCCAGAATATGTAATAGGCATCTCAAACTTAAACATGTTAAAAGTTGAACTGATATTCCTGTAACCCAAAACCTACTTCTTCTTTAGATAGTCTTCCCCATCTAAGTTATTGGCAACTCCATCCTTGGAATTGCTCGGGCAAAAACCTTGTCATGATCCTTGTCTATTCTTTCTCTGGTACAAATCCTGTCTGCAAATCCTGTTGATGAAACTTCCAAAATCTTATCAGCAGCTCCAGTAGTATCGCCCTGGTCCTGCTTCTGACTTTTTGCCTCACTCAGGCTGTTCTCAGCAGCCAGGATAATACTCCCTCCACTTTAAAAACAAACAAAGCTCCCAGACTAAGACGTTCCAGTGGTTTCCCTTTTTTGCTCCTTTAAGCCAGCAGTATTGCTACTTCTGATTATTGCCCTGTAGGTAGTTGAAAGATTATGGTGTGTATGTAGGGAGAGAACTTGAATTTTTTTTTTTTTTTTTTTATTGTACTTCAGGTGAAGGCTTACAGAACAGATAGTTTCTCATGAAACAGTAGTACACATGTTGTTTTATGACATTGGTTAACAACCCCACAACATATTAACCCTCTAACTTCTCAACCTTTTTTTTTTTGGTGAAGA